ATATATACATATATATATAGAAGGAATTAAGGAATGTTAAAAGATTCATGTTAAAAAGATAAAAAAATAAAAAACAAATGAAAACTACAGACAAAATTTCATTTTGTCCATCAAGACATTCATTTCTGTAGTTCGCTGCTACCAGCAAGCAGGAATATTTCTTCTCCTGATGATGGCCATTTTGGCCGAAACTAGTCGAGGAATCTAAATAAAATAGTAATAATAAAAAACGAAAGAATATTAATCTACAACCCAGTGTGTCTGAAGATTTTAATTTTTTAATATTTTTTATTGTTCAATATATATATATATATATATATATATATATATATATATATATATATATACACACACACACACAAGAAATAAGCTCATAGAATGACCAAGATACTTTCATGGAAGGTGGCTAAAAAGCTCAATATCTATATTATATATTACCTAATTCTAGGTACTATCATTCTTCAGGTTTAACTAATTTGCATATTTATTTAAAAAAAAAGTATATTTTATTAATTAACTGTCCTTCATTAGTGTAGTTTTATTCAAGGATAGTTTTGATTTTCATATCAAAAAGAGATCAGTTCAGGAATATCGTCTTATGTAGCGCAGAAAAGTGTTTGAAATTTGCATTTTACTTGGCCTTCAACAAGTTGGCATCTATTTGTAAAACTTTCCTTAACTAACAATTTATGAATGAAATGTTCATGTAAAATTTTTGTTTCAAAGATTTAAAGTAGTGAATGTATTTTACTTTGCGAAGCGACAGCGATCGGGCGAATCCAGTACCTGAAGACGGCCACGAGACCAGAAACCCGCGTAGTAAAATTATGGAAAATAAAGCATAACACTTTTTTCTAAAAAAACAACACATTACAATCAAAAACGTTTGCGGCACCTCTCTTCTCTTCTTTTTAATATACATACTTTTCTCTCGTTGGAAACACTACAAACACTTTCTTTATATATATATATATATATATATATATATATATATATAGAGAGAGAGAGAGAGAGAGAGAGCGAGAGAGAGAGAAAGGAAGAGTGAGAGAGAGGGAGGGAGAGAGAGAATGAAGAAGACAACAAGAAAAGGATATAAAAATAAAAATACTAAGCAGAGATAGAGAGAAGGACGGAGTGGAGGAAGAGAACGGAAAGTTAAATGGAATAATAAAAGTGAGTGAAATTAAGGAAGAAATGGTTTTGAGGGAGAGTGGGGAGAGAGACAGACAGGTGGGAAAATGAAAGGAACATGCGCAATGGATGGACAGATGAAAAGAGACAGTTAACCAGAGAGTGAGAAATGGATAAAAATGCTAACAGAAAAAGACTAGAGCTATAGGCCAATGGGTGAAAGCTAGAATGCAAGCAAGGAAGAAAGAAAGCAAGCGGGAAACAATTAAACAAAGAAAGACAGTAGGGACGAAAGAAATCAAGAAAAGAAAAGAAAACGCTCACAAGAAAGAAAGAAAGAAAGAAAGAAAGAAAGAAAGAAAGAAAGAAAGAAAGAAAAGGCCAGAAAGAAAGCAAAAATTAAAGCAAGAAAGAAAGCAAAGAAAAACTAGAAAGAAAGAAGGAGAAACAAGCAAGCAAGCAGGCAAGAAAGAAAGAAGAAAAGGAAAAGGCCAGAAAGAAAGCAAAAATTAAAGCAAGAAAGAAAGCAAAGAAAAATAGAAAGAAAGAAAAAAAGAAGGAGAAACAAGCAAGCAGGCAAGAAAGAAAGAAAGAAAGAAAGAAAGGAAGAAGAAAAGGAAAAGGCCAGAAAGAAAGAAAAAATTAAAGCAAGAAAGAAAGCAAAGAAAAACTAGAAAGAAAGAAAGAAAGGAAGAAAAAGGAAAAAGCTAGAAAGAAAGAAAGAAAGAAAGAAAGAAAGAAAGAAAGAAAGAAAGAAGGAGAAACAAGGAAGCAAGCAGGCAAGAAAGAAAGAAAGAAAGAAAGCAGGAAACAAAAAAAATAGACAAAAACGTAGAGGCAAGCCAACAAGAAAGAAAAAGACAGAAAGAAAGAAAGTAAAAATGAAAGCAAGCAAGAAAGAAACAATGAAATAAAGCAAGCAGAGATAAAAACAGAAAGTAAGCAAGGAAGAAAAAAACAAACAGGAAAGAAAAAAAAGAAAGAAAGAAGGAAGAAAAAACAACGAAACAAAGCAAGCGAAAAAAGAAAGAAACCAAAAAAAAAAAAGAAAAAAAAAGGAAAGCTAGAAAAAAAGCAAGCAGGAAAGAAAGAAAGAAAGAAACAAGAAATAAAAAAGCATACTAGAAATAAAGAAAAAGCGAAAAATACAGAAAACAAGGAAGAAAGAAAGAAGCAAGAAAAACAACAAAATAAAGCAAGCCAGCAAAAAAGAAAGAGACTAAGAAAAACGAGCGGTAAAGAAAGAGATTAGAAAAAACAAGCAATAAACAAAGAGACTAACAAAAAAACGATCAATAAACAAAGAGACTAAAAAAAGCGAGCAATAAAGTAAGAGACTAAGAAAAAACGAGCAATATAGAAAGTGACTAAGAAAAAACGAGCAATAAAAAAGAGACTAAGAAAAAACGAGCAGTAAAGAAAAAGACTAAGAAAAAACGAGCAGTAAAGAAAAAGACTAAGAAAAAACGGGCAATAAAGAAAGCGACTAAAAAAAACGAGCGGCAAAGAAAGAGACTAAGAAAAAACGAGCAGTAAAGAAAGATACTAAGAAAAAACGAGCGGCAAAGAAAGCGACTAAGAAAAAACGATCAATAGAGAAAGCGACTAAAACAAAACGAGCAGTAAAGAAAGATACTAAGAAAAAACGAAAAGTAAAGAAATAGACTAAGGAAACACGAGCAATAAAGAAAGGGACTAACAAATAACAAGCAATAAAGAAAGAGACTAAAACGAGCAATAAAGTAAGAGACTAAGATAAAACCATCGATAAAGAAAGAGACTAAGTAAAAACGAGCAATAAAGTATGAGACTGAGAAAAAACGAGCAATAAAGAAAGTGACTAAGAAAAAACGAGCAGCAAAGAAAGCTACTAAGAAAAAACTAGCGGTAAAGAAAGTGACTAAGAAAAAACGAGCAATAAAGAAAGCGACTAAGAAAAAACGAGCGGTAAAGTAAGAGACTAAGAAAAAACGAGAAATAAAGAAAGAGACTAAAACAAAACGAGCAGTAAAGAAAGATACTAAGAAAAAACGAAAAGTAAAGAAAAAGACTAAGGAAAAACGAGCAATAAAGAAAGGGACTAAAACGAGCAATAAAGAAACAGACTAAATAAAAACGAGCAATGAAGAAAGTGACTAAGAAAAAACGAGCAGTAAAGAAAGAGACTAAGAAAAACGAGCGGCAAAGAAAGAGACTGAGAAAAAACGAGCGGTAAAGTAAGAGACTAAGAAAAAACGAGAAATAAAGAAAGCGACTAAAACAAAACGAGCAATAAAGAAAGATACTAAGAAAAAACGAAAAGTAAAGAAATAGACTAAGGAAACACGAGCAATAAAGAAAGGGACTAACAAAAAACAAGCAATAAAGAAAGAGACTAAAACGAGCAATAAAGTAAGAGACTAAGATAAAACCATCAATAAAGAAAGAGACTAAGAAAAAACGACCGGTAAAGAAAGAGATTAGAAAAAACGAGCGGCAAAGAAGGAGACTAAGAAAAAACGAGCAATAATGAAAGAGACTAAGAAAAAACGACCGGTAAAGAAAGAGATTAGAAAAAACGAGCAATATAGAAAGTGACTAAGAAAAAACGAGCAATAAAGAAAGCGACAATGAAAAACCGATCGGCAAAGAAAGAGATTAAGAAAAAACGATCAATAAAGAAAGCGACTAAAACAACACGAGCAATAAAGAAAGCGACTAAGAAAAAACGAGCGGTAAAGTAAGAGACTAAGAAAAAACGAGAAATAAAGAAAGCGACTAAAACAAAACGAGCAGTAAAGAAAGATACGAAGAAAAAACGAAAAGTAAAGAAAAAGACTAAGGAAAAACGAGCAATAAAGAAAGGGACTAACAAAAAACAAGCAATAAAGAAAGAGACTAAAACGAGCAATAAAGTAAGAGACTAAGATAAAACCATCAATAAAGAAGAGACTAAGTAAAAACGAGCAATAAAGTAAGAGACTAATGAAAAACGTGCAATAAATAAAGCAACTAAGAAAAAACGAGCAGCAAAGGAAGCCACTAAGAAAAAACTAGCGGTAAAGAAAGTGACTAAGAAAAAACGAGCAATAAAGAAAGTGACTAAAACAAAACGAGCAATAAAGAAAGGTACTAAGAAAAAACGAAAAGTAAAGAAATAGACTAAGGAAAAACGAGCAATAAAGAAAGGGACTAACAAAAAACAAGCAGTAAAGAAAGAGACTAAAACGAGCAATAAAGTAAGGGACTAAGATAAAACCATCGATAAAGAAAGAGACTATGTAAAATCGAGCAATAAAGTAAGGGACTAAGAAAAAACGAGCAATAAAGAAAGTGACTAAGAAAAAACGAGCAGTAAAGAAAGAGACTAAGAAAAAACGAGCAATTAAGAATGAAAGAACAAAACGAGAAAGAAACAGCGAAAAAAAGCAATTATGTAAGAAACCAAGAACTAATAGAAATAGAAAAAGAAAAAAAAAAGGAATAAAGCAAGTAAGAAAATAAAGGCCAGAAAGAAAGAAAGCGAGAATGAAAGCAAGCAAGAAAGAAAAAAGAAACAGCAAGAGAGAAAGAAGCCAGAAACAAGAAAAAAAATACTAGAAAGAGAGAAAAAAATAGAGCAAGAACATAAGCCCGCAAAAAAGAGAGAAATGAAGAAATAAGAAAGAAAGTCTAAAACAAATGCGGAGGGAGAAAAAAGGAAGTGGTGACTTGAAAAAGTCGACAGATAAAATTAGAGAGATTTAAAGGCTGGATAATAAATCATGGCGTTTGATAAGATTATCAGAAACGAATAAAAAAGAAGTGATATGAAACGCCAAAGTAAACCAGCGTTTCAAGCCTAGGAAACAAACAGACATTGCTGGATGGTGTACCCTATGTGTGGAGCGATGCGGTTGTCAGCCGTTTTCTCTTTTTTTCTAAGTCCGTCTTCCTTATTTATCAGAGAGATTCATAAGAACCCCCGTGAGTCGGGCAACGGAGAGATTAAAACCAACCAGGAAAGCAAAAAAAAAAATTGGGATGACTCGGTGCAGCTCATCAGCTTCTTTTGCTCGCCTTATCAGTTGACGAAGCTTTTTTTTTTTTTTTCTTTCTTTCTTTCTTTCTTTCTTTCTTTCTTTCTTTCTTTCTTTCTTTCAATGCTTTCGTTTTTGCTTGATTCCTCGAGGTTTTATATATGAACGTCTTTCACTCTTTCTTTTCCATACTTTCCGTCAGTTGTGTCTTTCTTTCTTTCTTTCTTTCATTCTTTCTTTCTTTCGTTATTTCTTTCTTTCCTTCCTTCCTTCCTTCTTCCTTCCTTTCTTGCTTGATTCCTCGAGGTTTTATATATGAACGTCTTTCATTCTTTCTTTTCCATACTTTTCGTCGATTGATGTCTTTCTTTCTTTCTTTCTTTCTTTCATTCTTTCTTTCTTTCTTTCTTTCTTCTTACCTTTTTTACTTTTCTGTTTTTCATTCTTTCAGTGTGTTTATTTGTTTTTTCTCAATCTCTTTCATTTTTTCTTTAAATCTTTCTTTCTTTTCCAGGCTTTCTTTCTTTCTTTCTTTCTTTTTCTTTTTTTTCTTTTCTTTCTTTTCTTTCTTTCTTCTTACCTTTTTTACTTTTCTGTTTTTCATTCTTTCAGTGTGTTTATTTTTTTTTCTCAATCTCTTTCATTTTTTCTTTAAATCTTTCTTTCTTTCTTTCTTTCTTTCTGCTTACCTTTTTTACTTTTCTGTTTTTCATTCTTTCAGTGTGTTTATTTGTTTTTTCTCAATCTCTTTCATTTTTTCTTTAAATCTTTCTTTCTTTTCCAGGCTTTCTTTCTTTCTTTCTTTCTTTCTTTCTTCTTACCTTTTTTACTTTTCTGTTTTTCATTCTTTCATTATGTTTATTTGTTTTTTCTCAATCTCTTTCATTTTTTCTTTAAATCTTTCTTTCTTTTCCAGGCTTTCTTTCTTTCTTTCTTTCTTTCTTTCTTTCTTTCTGCTTAACTTTTTTACTTTTCTATTTTTCATTCTTTCAGTGTGTTTATTTGTTTTTTCTCAATCTCTTTCATTTTTTCTTTAAATCTTTCTTTCTTTTCCAGGCTTTCTTTCTTTCTTTCTTTCTTTCTTTCATGCTATCATCTATTAATTTGTTTGTTTCTTTCTTTCTTAGTGTGTTTATTTGTCTTTCCAGTCCTTTTTTATTTCATTCTTTCTTTTTCCATACTTTCATGTCATCCTTTCTTTCTTTCTTTCTTTCTTTCCTTCTTTCTTTCTTTCTTTCTTTCTTTCTTTCTTTCTTTCTTTCTTCTCATTCTTTCGTCCCTTATTTCTTTCCTTTCTTTCTTTTTCTACATTGCATTCATAGTAACAATGTTGTACTTTTTTCTTTACATCTCGTCAATTGAAACATTCCTGTTCCTTTTCTTTCTTTCTTTCTTTCTTTCTTTCTTTCTTTCTTTCTTTCTTTCTTCCTTTTGTTCGTTCTTTCTTTCTTTCTTTCTTTCTTTCTTTCTTTTTTCTTTCTTTCTTCTTCTATAGACATCATTCCGTTTTTTTTCTTTCTTTAAATATAAATCATTTTCTTCTTCCACTTCTACAATTTCTTTCATATACTTTTATTCAGACCAATTATATCTTTCTCTCTTCCTTTTCTTTCTTTCTTTCTTTCTTTTTTCTTTTTCTTTCTTTCTTTCTTTCTTTCTTTCTTTTTCTAATCATGGCTCAAGTAGTCTTGACTGGATTCATTTTGCAAAGTAATTATTTGCTAACTTTCGCTGGAGAGTGCGGTGGGCGAGGTTTACTTTGCCTTTCATATGGTCGGCCATTTCCCCGACCCTCATCGGCCACGAGATAAAAGATGAAATAGAAAGTGGCGTTGTTGATAGACAAAGTGTCATCATTTAAAGCGCCGTGCCTCCATTTGCTTCTTGGTGTCAGGGTACATCTTTTTCCTCACCCATTTTCAAAGGACTTCGCACGGGGAGAGCGAATGGAATGAAAGCCATTACTTTCAACAACTATATCACTACCGCTTAGGCCGCTACCATCGATACCATCAACGTAATCAGGGCCGATGCGTACTAATCTGGACTGGGAAGGGGGCTGATTGGGGATCCGGGCAGTGCTTTGTGACCCTCTCTCTCTTGTCAACATTTTTCTTTTTGTCTACCAACATTTACATACGTTACAAACTAAACTAAGTACAACTGATTATTGAAGGATAAAAATTTTTCGCCGATTTTGACATCATTCCGTGAGTCATTTTTTTTTTCGTCCAAATCAGTGAATTCGTTTTGCTTATGCCAAGTCTAAAAAAAAAAAAAACCCCCAAAAAACACAAAAAACACAACCCCCCCAAAAAAAACGAAAAACAAAAAACAAAACAACAACAAAAATAACAAACAAAAAACAAAAAACACTATAAGAAGAAAAAAATCTCAAGTTGTATATGGTAATGAATGCTGGACAATCTTGTCACAGATGAAAAGACTTGAAGCAACAGAAACAAAAAAAAAAGAGTACTGAAATGTTATGTAATATCAGTCCTCCTATATGGCAGTGAATGCTGGACAAACTTGTCAGAGATGAAAAGACTTCCAGCAAGAGAAACAAAGAAAAGTGTACTGAACTGCTATGTAATATCAGTCCTCCTATATGGCAGTGAATGCTGGACAATCTTCTCACAGATGAAGAAGAGACTTTAAGCAAGAGAAACAAAGAAAAGAGTACTGAACTGTTATGTAATATCAGTCCTCCTATATGGTAGTGAATGCCGGACAATCTCCTCACAGATGAAGAAGAGACTTGAAGCAAGAGAAACAAAGAAAAGAGTACTGAACTGTTATGTAATATCAGTCCTCCTATATGGCAGTGAATGCTGGACAATCTCCTCACAGATGAAGAAGAGACTTGAAGCAAGAGAAACAAAGAAAAGAGTACTGAACTGTTATGTAATATCAGTCCTCCTATATGGCAGTGAATACTGGACAATCTCTTCACAGGTGAAGAAGAGACTTGAAGCAAGAGAAACAAAGAAAAGAGTACTGAACTGTTATGTAATATCAGTCCTCCTATATGGCAGTAAATGCTGGACAATCTCCTCACAGATGAAGAAGAGACTTGAAGCAATAGAAACAAAGAAAAGAGTACTGAACTGTTATGTAATATCAGTCTTCATATATGGCAGTGAATGCTGGACAATCTCCTCACAGATGAAGAAGAGACTTGAAGCAAGAGAAACAAAGAAATGAGTACTGAACTGTTATGTAATATCAGTCCTCCTATATGGCAGTGAATGCTGGACAATCTCCTCACAGATGAAGAAGAGACTTGAAGCAAGAGAAACAAAGAAAAGATTACTGAACTGTTATGTAATATCAGTCCTCCTATATGGCAGTGAATTCTGGACAATCTCCTCACAGATGAAGAAGAGACTTGAAGCAAGAGAAACAAAAAAAAAGATTACTGAACTGTTATGTAATATCAGTCCTCCTATATGGCAGTGAATGCTGGACAATCTCCTCACAGATGAAGAAGAGACTTGAAGCAAGAGAACAAAAGAAATGAGTACTGAACTGTTATGTAATATCAGTCCTCCTATATGGCAGTGAATGCTGGACAATCTCCTCACAGATGAAGAAGAGACTTGAAACAAGAGAAACAAAGAAATGAGTACTGAACTGTTATGTAATATCAGTCCTCCTATATGGCAGTGAATGCTAGACAATCTCCTCACAGATGAAGAAGAGACTTGAAGCAAGAGAAACAAAGAAATGAGTACTGAACTGTTATGTAATATCAGTCCTCCTATATGGCAGTGAATGCTGTACAATCTCCTCACAGATGAAGAAAAGACTTGAAGCAAGAGAAACAAAGAAAAGAGTACTGAACTGTTATGTAATATCAGTCCTCCTATATGGCAGTGAATGCTGGACAATCTCCTCACAGATGAAGAAGAGACTTGAAGCAAGAGAAACAAAGAAAAGATTACTGAACTGTTATGTAATATCAGTCCTCCTATATGGCAGTGAATTCTGGACAATCTCTTCACAGATGAAGAAGGGTCTTGAAAGCAACAAAGAAAAGTGTACTGAACTGTTATGTAATATCAGTCCTCCTATATGACAGTGAATGCTGGGCAATCTCCTCACAGATGAAGAAGAGACTTGAAGCAAGAGAAACAAAGAAAAGATTACTGAACTGTTATGTAATATCAGTCCTCCTATATGGCAGTGAATGCTGGACAATCTCCTCACCGATGAAGAAGGGTCTTGAAAGCAACAACGAAAAGTGTACTGAACTGTTATGTAATATCAGTCCTCCTATATGGCAGTGAATGCTGGACAATCTCCTCACAGATGAAGAAGAGACTTGAAGCAAGAGAAACAAAGAAAAGAGTACTGAACTGTTATGTAATATCAGTCCTCCTATATGGCAGTGAATGCTGGACAATCTCCCTCACCGATGAAGAAGGGTCTTGAAAGCAACAACGAAAAGTGTACTGAACTGTTATGTAATATCAGTCCTCCTATATGGCAGTGAATGCTGGACAATCTCCTCACAGATGAAGAAGAGACTTGAAGCAAGAGAAACAAAGAAAAGATTACTGAACTGTTATGTAATATCAGTCCTCCTATATGGCAGTGAATGCTGGACAATCTCCTCACAGATGAAGAAGAGACTTGAAGCAAGAGAAACAAAAGAAAAGAGTACTGAACTGTTATGTAATATCAGTCCTCCTATATGGCAGTGAATGCTGGACAATCTCCTCACAGATGAAGAAGGGTCTTGAAAGCAACAAAGAAAAGTGTACTGAACTGTTATGTAATATCAGTCCTCCTATATGGCAGTGAATGCTGGACAATCTCCTCACAGATGAAGAAAAGACTTGAAGCAAGGGAAACAAAGAAAAGTG